TAGAACCTGAATGATTGACCATCCATTCCATGGTGAGTTTATCTCACTAGTATTGCTGTCTCTCCTATATACTCATCCCCAGTTTGTTAAAATTGGGCCATGAGTGTGGATTCCATTCAAGATCTGAAGGATGACCGAGGGTCATAGTCTTGGGTTATTTCTATCTCTTTCTGACTAGTAAGCCTGGTCTTTTTTTAATACAAATCTATTGAAAAAATTGTTATCTTATTACGAATTTGTTTTAGAATTATAACAAATAAAAACACTTTAGTGAAGCTTTTGATACAGTTTTTCCCAGGGAAAGTATCAATAATTTTACTTTTATAATTTCAGTTACTTAAAAAGATAACTGAATAAAACTCTTTGCTTATTTTTATCTCAAACAAGGCAGAATATATGTAAGTAATCAAAAATTTCTACCTGTGTAGTGGAAGGGGCTTGATCTTGGGTTTTTCAGAAGCTGAGGAGAGCGTTTTAATTTGAGGCTTGGCTGTTGGTGAGGTTTCCAAATCTCGGCTAAGCTCGGCTTCAGTTTTCTTAATGTATTCGTCATATGACTAAGTTTAGAAAAATCAGAACAGTCACTAAGCAGAATTTCTAAAAGCTATTTTAAGTTATAAAATAGTATTATTTTATGGTAAAATATTCAAACAGTAAAGATGATAGACTAGACAAACTCCTGTCTGTGGCCCCCCAGTCTCATTTCCTAGAGCTCTACAGTTACTTATACGTCCTTCTCAAAATCGTCTACGTAAAAGCAGTAAGAAAAATTGTGATCATCAGTGTCAGTTAGGAAGTGATCAAGTCTCTACAGAAGTTGAACACATATGAAGCAATGATTCATGTTCTGCCACATTACAGCACTTCTTTAACCGACTATATGGTTATTCTCTGAACGGTGTCCTAATACTGTAATAGTACTTTCCAGGAAAGCCATTCTGTTGTTGAGCTTCAGTGGCAAGAAGCTTTTTAAGAGATAGGTTCCTAAGAACACAAATCTTGAAGACAGAGAAGGGTGTTTTGGAAATATGATACCTCAAAATTGTAAACTGTTTTCTGTAAACATTCTATAAAAAATTAATTATAATTTATATATAATCTAAGGCAAATTCTCCACCTATTGTTTGTATCTCTTTAGTTTACAGAACTAAACATCTTTGCTTCCGTGCCACTGTCATCTAAATTCTCAATGTTATGATAAAGTAACTCTTGGTATTAAAAATATATTGCAGACAGATGGTCTGGCTAAGTAGGTATGCATGGGGGACTTTTCAGATCTGAAAATCAAACTTAAATGAGTGCAGTCCATTTATTAGACCTTTGATAAAAAAAAATCCAAAGCGTTTTTTTTTTTTTTTCCATTTTTCATTATGACCGGCTATGTATTATATACCTATTTCCATACAGTAAACTACAGTGAAAACTGTGAGAGTTGGAACACAGTGGGACTGCCTTATTTTCCAGGTCTCACAAGTTCCACCTGTTGACAGGATGCAGTCTTACCATTTTCAGTTTTCTATTGTTTATTTTAGTGAAAATATTTGAGTTTTCCTTTTCTGACAGGTTTCTGCCTTTACATAACTTCTGGGTTTTGTAGGTTTTATGATATAATTTCAAAATCTAAATTCAGAAGTTTTCTTTGTTTTTATTTAAGTCATTTGATAAAATCTTGGAGAGTCCTGGTGTGGTGTTGTAGGATAAACACTGGACTGCAAGGTCAATTTGAACCACAAGGCCCCCAGCCGCTCCTTGGAAACCCTATAACAGGATCATTATGAGTCAGAACTGACTCAACGGCACTTAACAACGACAACAATAAAATGTTGTATAAAATGTATACTAATAATATTCCTCTATAAATATCTACTTTCCAAGAGCTAAGACAAGCCATAATGAACACTTCAGAGCACTGCTCCTCAATCTAGTAGTGCTTCATCAATAGTACTCCTCTACTCAGAAGCTTTCAATGGCTCCTCATTGCCTACAGCAGGACTTTTAAATCCTAGGCCCCTACTTAGATCAACTAAATTGGTGAGCACAGATAGCTATGGCGGTGCGAGTCAGTTCCCATCATAGTATTACTGAGGATGTAAATCTTTATGGGAGCAGACAGCCTCATCTTCCTCCCATGGAACGAATGGTAGAATCGATTTGCAGCCCAGCTTGTAAAACTCACTATGCTATCAGGGCTCCTTACAGATAGCTAGATATATATTTTTTAAAGTCCCTAGTTAATTCTAAATGTATAGACAGGATGAAGACCACTAACCTACAGGATTAAGTCCAAACTTGTTAATTTGACTTCTAAAAGTCCTGAACATGATCTTTATTTTTATATTTTGTTTCCTACTACATCTCAAGATGCACTCCCTAGTATTGCCATTGTACTTTAATCACCTTTCCTATTTCTAAATATTTATGCAACATGCAATCACTACTGCCATCTCCGTACTGGCTACCTGTGTAAGGGTCTGTTTTCTCCATTTCTATGAGGCCTATTTTCTGTGTGGAAGTTAGTATATATAATGGTAATGGCACAGAATCTAGAATCACAACTAGATAAAAACCTTAGCTCTAACACATACTAGCTGTGCGTCCCTGGGTAAATCATTGTCATCGAAGCTGGGATAATAATACCTACAACTTGTTGCTATGAGGATTAACTGAGAAATATATACATGAAGGAATTAGCAAAATTTCTGGTACATAAATGGTGATGGTGATGGTTGTGTGCTGTGGAGTCAGTTCTGACTCATAGTGACTCTGTGTAGTGTTTCGAAGGCTGTAAATATTACAGAAGCAGGAAGCCTTATCTTTCTCCCGTGGTATGGCTGGTCGTTTCAAACTGCTGTTCTTGAGGTTAGCAGCCCAGCTTGTAACTATACCTCACTATTTAATGATCTAATTAATAAATGAAGGAAGAACAAGGATCAGTAGGTAGAAATGAAAAGGACAGACATTTTGGTTAAATTTATCAAAGAACTTTCTAATACTTAGAACAACTGGAGTCTAACAATGAAGCCAATTGCCTTGAAATCTTGAAATTTTCTATTATTAGAAGGGTTCAGGTATAAGTGGAAATAGTGCTGTCTAGAGATGCCATGAAAAGGAATTCTTGCAATGAATAAGAGGTTCAGGCTGATTCTATAATGAATGTGATGGTTTAGGAACACTGTTGTTATGAAGTGCCGTTGAGCTGTTTCTGACTCATAGCGAATCTGTATAGGGTTTCTGAGGAGCGGTCGGTAGATATGAACAACTGACCTTGCAGTTCAAACCAACCTTGTGGGCCAGTGCTTTATCCTTCAGCTCCACACCAGGACTCCAGGAACACTAGACTGGGAGAATACTTTTAAATGTAATAGGAAAACAGCCAGATATAGAGACACCTAACAGGCTACGCACACAGAAGAGGCAAGAGGTCATAAGGGTCCAAACAAGTTTGATGGCAGATGAATAAAAAGGGAAAGGCAACAATTTTATAAAAGGAGAATCAGTGTGATCTGGTGATTGACGGACAGGAGAAAACAGAGGAGGCTTGGGAGAAAAGTCATGTTAGTGTTACTATTTTAGCAACAGGTAAATAGTATAAAGAGTATACAAGTCTTGTTTCATGAAATACCATTTTGCTTTAAAAAATAACAAAGCAGTAACAATTCCAGTAGCTAGAATTATTACGTTCTATTATTATTAGATTCTCTGCTTAAGAGACATTGTGTATCAATCTTTTTTTACAAGCCAAATCTTTCTTATTAGAAGCCCTGGCAGTGTAGTGAATTACAAGCTGGTCGGCTAACTGCAAAGTAAGTAGTTTGAATCTACTAGTTGCTCCATGAGAGAAAGAAGAGGCTTTCTGCTCCCATAAAGATACATAGCCTCAGAAACCCTATATAGATAGGTTCACTGAGTTGGAGCCAACTTGGTGGCACAAAACCACCAAACTAATCTTATCAAAATAACACAAAGTATCTTGCTTTAATACTTCATCTTATATTAAATATTTAACTTAGTGCTTTAAGCTTTTTTTCCCAAGTTAGGATAAAATGTGATAACCAAACTAATATTGATAATTCTTAATCAATCACTTTATTAAAAACCTTAAAAAACATTTTAGGCTTGTTATATACATTAGTCTCAATATTAAACTCCTTTCTTTCCATGTCTAACCTCTAACTGTTTGATCAGACTGGCTTCTTGGGCTTTCAGCCTTTCCTTTTGCCTTTTTTTCTGTTCTTTCTTCAACTGGTCCACAACGGATTTTCTTTTCCGAAGCTCATCCTTCAGAGCTCTGATCCGGCCTTCAATGTCACTCTGGTCAGATGTAGTTTCTGAAACGGACACAAAGTTTACGATTTAATGTTAACTTAAGAATAAAGTTAACTCAGTGGCTACTAATGAAAAACTTCAAAGTAATTTCCCAAAAGTAGGACCAAACTAACATCGAACATTTAGAAATTTGAGCTTCTAGGGAAAAAAAAAAAAATTGTTAGTAATCTGCATCCTTCTGGGTTTTTTCTAATCTCTTCATATTTTTCTTGGTTTCTCCAATTTATTTTCACTTTCTCATTGCACTATTTGAAATTATAAATGAATCTCAAGGTACCCTGTCTTGGAAAGATAAGCAACTGGAAGGGGAAAATGTTTTAGGTCAAGTGAAGTCTGAATGCTCTGTAAGAAATTATTTTCTGGTGACAAAATAGACATATTAACTATTCCTCCCCTAAGTTACGTTTTAAAGTTCTATTGAACTAAACATAATTTTAAACTGACTGTGAGTCATTAGATGATGTCTTAAAGCCAGAGAAAAAGAGATATAAAGAAATAGAACTTTGTGTTACAAACTTTCTTTGAAAACTCCTGAAAATGCTTTAAATAATTGAAGTCTAATTAAATCTTATTCTCTTCTCAACAGTTCATACCTATACATTGTAGGCATTCAGTTATAGCTATGAAATAAACAAGTATCATTTAAAGAGGCTGCTTATCTTACTACAAATAGAAATGACATAGTATAAAAATCACAGTGCCTCATATCTCTTCCTCAGAGTCACACAATTATGTCATTTCCACACACTAATGTTGAATGACACATTTAACAGCCTTGCAACAGTATAACTGTATAAAAATCTGAGGACTCAGATGTATAGTATAACATTAGTAGGGACTTCAAAAAGTTTGTGAGAAATGGAATTGAAGGATAATGGAATTTCCCCACAAATTTTATGAAGCTCTTTCATATAGCCAGGATTTTATCAGGTAGTTCGATTAAATAGTATGAGAACAAATTATGGAATTTATTTAAATGTGAAAAGGCTATATAGCCTTTTTTGGTAATGTGATCCAAATATCTTGATAGGAAATCATGAAATCTGAGTTCTTGTCATTTCATATCACTGATCTAAGCATTTGATCCAATACAGTTAATAAAGGGGAAATCAAAGGAAGTACAAAGAAGACAAACACCTTAGGATTTAGTCTTACCTGATGGTGTCATAGATAATGACTCATCTGACCAACTATAACAGGGCTGATGGGACTTGATAGGTAGACGATACTGTCCTCCGGTCCTATGACTTCCTTTGCTAGACTCCTGTTTTGATACGGATGTGCAGCTTTTGGGAGGTGACTATTCAGAAAATCAAATGGGATATTTGTGATACAGTTGTAAAATTCAACATATTAGCTAGTTAAAGATTGTATTTATAAGTTCTTAATAGCCCATTACTTAAAAAGTACCCTGGTAGCACAGTGGGTTAAACTGGTTAAGTGTTAAGGCTGGTAACCAACCACAAGATCAGTGGTTCAAACCCACCAGAAGCTCTGCAGGAGAAAGATGAGGCTCTCTGTTCTCCCAAAAGATTTACAGTCTCAGAAACCCTAAGGAGCAGTTTTACTATGTCCTATAAGGTCACTGGAGTCCTGGTGTGGCGTTAATGTGCTGGACTGCAAAGATCTTGCAGTTTGAACCTCAAGGTCAATGGTTCAAGCTCACCAGCTGTTCCTTGGAAACCCTATACATGGTTGCTATTGGTTGGAACCAACTTGATGGCACTTAACAAAAACAAAAGCATAGGGTTACTAGAGTCCTGGTGTGACGAGATGGGCAAACGTGCAGGGCTGCAAAGTCAGTTTGAACCTCAAGGTCAGCGGTTCAAGCTCACTGGCCACTCCTCGGAAACCCTACACAGGGTCGCTATGGGTCAGAAATGATTTGATGGCACTTAACAACAACAACATAGGGTCACTATGAGTGACTGACTCAATGACGGGGTATATTTTAATGATTAAAAAATAGCTTTAAAATTAGACAGAGAGTTTCATTTTTACAAAAAGACACAAAATAAAGAAAGCTTTAAGAAAGCATGCTGGAATATCAGGGCTTGGGTGGAAGTGCAGTGAAGTTTGCCATCAGCAATAACACAGAATACCAGGCAAAGCAGATCCAGGGCAGAGCTCCAAAACTCAGAACCACAGAGATAGGAATATTTCAAAGGTTTGAAGGCTATAAGCCTGTGGAATTTGGAGCTGAAGTAAAAAATCGCGTACTTTTGATACTGCAGGGCTGGGCTCAGAGGCCTGGAAGCCACATTCTGGGTGAGACCAAAAGGCAAGATGAAACAGGGGGAGCAGAATCACCATGGAAAAATGCCACAGGAACCTTGTGACAAAGGTGGACAATATACTTTGTCAGTTTTGCATTGTTCTGATTTTCTTT